CCGCCGATCTTGGGCGTGAGCGAGAGGCGCTGCAGCAGGCGGCCTGCGGGCAAGGGTTCGGGTACCGGCGGGGTAGGGGAGGGTGGGTTCGGGTACCGTGGGGTAGGGGAGGGTGGGTTCGGGTACCGTGGGGTAGGGGAGGGTGGGTTCGGGTACCGTGGGGTAGGGGAGGGTGGGTTCGGGTACCGTGGGGTAGGGGAGGGTGGGTTCGGGTACCGTGGGGTAGGGGAGAGGGGCGCCTGCAGGCAAGGGCGCGGAGCAAGGCTATGAGAACGGCCACTACACTCCCCCCTCTGTGGCCCGCTCGCAGGAAACGGGCGCCTTGCGCGCTGACGCCGCGCGCGCGGGTGCGCCGCCCGCGGCGCCGCCCGTGTCGTCGGCGGCGGCGGCGGCGGCGGCGGCGGCGGCGGCTGCGGCGGCGACGCGGGCCTCCGCGGCGGCGAGGGCGGTCGCTGCCGCGCCGGAGGGGGGCGAGCGCGGCTCGGCGCCGGGCGGTGCGGCGCCAGCCTACAAGAGTGCCCCGACTCTCCCTCACCCATGGCTCCGCCCACCCGGCTCGGTGGCCTGCGCGGCGGAGGAGAAAAAGAAATGCCTGCGCGACGACTTCCGCAGGGACGGCGGGGGGAGGGTGCGGTTGCGGCGGCTGCGGCTGCGGCTGCGGCTGCTGCGGCGGCGGCGGCTGCGAGCGGGCGAGAGCCGCAGCGAGAGCGGCCTGGCGGCGCGGGTCCTCCGCGGCGGCGGCGGCAGCCGGCGGCGGCGCGGCGGGCGGCGGCGCGGCGGGCGGCGGCGCGGCCGCGGCGGGCGGCGGCGCCTGGGTCGCCGCCGCCGTCTCCTGCGGGGCTTGGCGCGCGGCCAGAGCGGCGAGCACAGCCTCGCGGCGCTGTTGCGGAGTCTGCGGGGGGTGGGTCGCGCCGCCGCCGGGCTGGCCTCCTCCGAGCGTCTGCCCGGCGCCGGCGCTTGCCCAGCCGGTGCGGGGCGCTCGGCCTCCACCGCCTCCGGGGACAAAGGCGCCGGGAGGAAAGCGTGGGACACCCCCAATGCCCTCCTCGCCCTCCTCCTCGCCCTCCCCGTCCTCCTCGCCCTCCTCGCCTTCCTCGTCCTCCTCGCCCTCCTCGCCTTCCTCGTCCTCCTCGCCTTCCTCCCGCCCCTCGGGCGGGGTCTCATTCTCATTCTCATTCTCATTCTCATCTGCCGCCGCCGCCGCCGCCGCCACCGCCGCCGCCGCCGCTTGGGGCGGAGCCTCCTCGCCGCCGATGCGCCGCGCGAGCAGAGTCGCCTGGTGGCCGTGTGGAGCCGGTCGGGTGGGGGGCGGGTGGGGAGAGGGATGGGGGGATGGGGGGATGGGGGGTGGGGGGGATG